GCCGTGCTTCCCCTGCCTCCTGTGCGTAGATCTAGGTTATATTAGAGGTTGCATATAAAGGAGGAAATCATATTGTAGGTTAGGTCATATTGGTAAGTCATACTGGGAGGTTTCCGAAAATAGGGGACCCTAATATAGTACCCTAAATAGTAGGATCCTTATCAAAGGACCCCAAATAAGGTACCCTAATTTTCGGAAACTCCCAAATTAGTAATAGAAGGCCCTGGGATGCCGCGCCCGGCAGGAAGCCGGTGGTCGTGGCAGCCTTTCAGGTTTAGGGTTTAGGGTTTAGGGTTTAGGGTTTAGGGTTTAGGGTTTAGGGTTTAGGGTTTAGGGTTTAGGGTAGGCGTTGAAGACGTGTTTCAGGCTTCAACTCCACTGTCCGGGTCACTGTAGGTGCCTTAAAATTTTAGAATAGGGTTTCGGGGCCCGGTATACTAGAAGTCTAATAAGGAGCCCCCAAAATAGTCTAGGTAATTATTCCCCAAACCCGAAACCCTAAACCCTAAACCCTAAACCCTAAACCCTAAACCCTAAAACCCTAAAACCTCTCAAACTTCGGGGTTCTGATGGCTTCTGTCTCGCAGGGTTTAGGGAGTTGGGGGCTCCGGCAGGGCACAGGGCTAAGCTGCCCGAGCCCTGGCTCAAGAAGATGTGTTTCTTGCTTTAGGTTTATAGGGTTTGGGGTTTAGGGTATAGGGTTTAGGGTTTAGGGTTTCGGGTTTAGGTTTTTGGGTCTGGCAAGCTCTACGGTACAAAGTCTGAGCCCGGGCGTTTTTAACTCTCGGGTGTAAGACTGAATGAACCTGCAGTAGCTCACTCCGGCCTAGCCCTAAACCCTAAACCCTAAACCCTAAACCCTTAAACCCTAAACCCTAAACCCTTAACCCTTTGAACCCTAAACCCTAAACCCTAAACCCTAAACCCTAAACCCTAAACCCTAACCCTTTTCCCCCAAAACCCCCGGCCTAGCCCTAGAGCCTCACGATCTCTGCATGCTCCTCGCGCTCCTCGGCCCTGGGCACCAGGTACCAGAACCAGGGCGGAACCACGGCAACGAGGACGACGGTGGCGAGGATGATCTTGGACATCACATAATGCCTCGGCAATAGGGTTTTGGAGCCCTTTATAATACAATTATGATAAGGAGCCCCCCAAAACAATGTAGGTCGGAAAGCCAAGAACTCAGAGTCCCTCAAACCCGGCACGTAAACGGCCTGCCTAAAAAGGCTCACAGCCCCAAAAACCTAAATCTGATGAAAAGGAAGCCCCCATGCCGCCCCTAGACATCCAAGAGAATCCTGCAGAACCCCGCTTAAGACTGTCCCGTTTAGGGTTTAGGGTTTAGGGTTTAGGGTTTAGGGTTTAGGGTTTAGGATGGAGACCTCGTGGCAATTCCACAACGCTACCAATCGGTTGAAGGGTTCGCGAGCCCGGAACCATGGCCCCAAGCTGAAAGAAAAACCTAAGTCAGCTACCACACGGGGCCTGAATAAGCAGTGATGCTACTCTTTAGGGCTCGCGAATCATCTATACTTGATATAGCATCGACCCGAGATATCCCCCAAACAGTAAGTCAAGCTATCAAGGCCCACAGTACTACACACATGGTAAAGACACCCCCAAAGACTCCAATAAACTGGGTTGCTGCTGAGGAACAAGGAAACCATATTATTTGCTCTATGTATAATAAATATATATATATATATATATATATCGTTGTTTTCGCTTCCTGGGGCACTGAGTCAATCTACTATATACATATACACATATGGGTGGTTGTCAAAATTAGGGTCCCTTTTTGGGTACCCTAAATATTAGGTGCCGTATTATAATAAGGACCCAAAAAGGGATCATAATTTTGACAACCACCCATATATTGTATCCCCATTTATGGTAGCTTAAATTAAGTTCCTTAACAGCAGCCCAGTACTCCCGCAAAGACTCCTAAACATCGCTCCGGCACCCATTCCAGCCCTGCGTGGACAGCACGATCACTGACTCGAAAGCCTTGTCCCATGCCTGGGAGACAACCAGCAAGTGTTCTGTTACCTGGGGTTTCGGACCCGAAAGCTTAGATTTGTTTATGGGTTTAGGGTTTAGGGTTTAGGGGTTTAGGGGTTTGGGGTTTGGGGGTTTTTGGGGTTTAGGGCATTTGGGGGTTGGGCTTTGGAGATCTAAAGGTGTTGTGGTTGAGGCTCCTTGAGGCCCTTTCCCTGAAACCCTCCCGAAACCGCCGGTCCTTAGGAACCTGATGAAGGAACCCTGGCTCTTTATTAGGGTTCCCTCAACGTTTAGAGTTTAGGGTTTAAGGTTTAGGGTTTAGGGTTTAGGGTTTAGGCTTCTTAATATGGGCCCAAATATATTGGGGTTATGGGGCCAGGGTTTCTTAATCGGGTTCCTACATCAACACCCCTAACTTCATACCGGACCTGCACCCCGAAGGCCTCACCCGAAGCCAAAATAACAAGCCCAACCCTCGGACCCCAAACCGCCCTAAGGGAGGGGCCTCAAGAACGAGAATAGGGTTTTGTGTGTATATTAGACCACAATCATAATAAGGAACCCCCAAAAAAACCCTATTCTAATTATCAAGGCCCCTAAATTAAACCCTAACCCATCCCTGCTCCCTCAAGCCCTAAACCCTAAACCCTAAACCCTAAACCCCAACGAAGCTCATGCGGCCGCGGGGCCAGGCCAATGGCGATGCCAAAGGCTTCCGCAACCTCGGGCCCCAGAGAGGAGACTATACGGTTTAGGGTTTCGGGTTTAGGCTTTAGGGTTTAGGGTTTAGGGTTTAGGGTTTGACGGTTTGACTATACTATAAGATGATTTAGTACAATATCATGTTACAGAAATGCTATGATGTAGTTTAGCACTAGAGCCTGAAGGTTACCCAAACACTTCGGAGTGTAGACCCTAAACCCTAAACCCTAAACCCTAAACCCTAAAACCCTAAACCCTAAACCCTAAAACCCTAAACCCGAGTGAGAAATCCGGTGCCAAGAAGCACTGGCAGCCTCGTGCCGGAAGGTCCGGAGATCCCTCGCGGAAGCTGTTACTGGTGGGTAAACAAGGGGCTTAGGGTTTAGGGTTTA